AGAACATCCGGACTTCTCTCTCTCTCTCTCTCTCTCTCTCTCTCTCTCTCTCTCTCTCTCTCTCTCTCTCTCTCTCTCTCTCTCTCTCTCTCTCTCTCTGTGCCCTGGCCAAGTTGGCCAAGGCTGCGCGCAATGAGTATTTGGACAAGATGTTGGCCATCTTCAGATGTGCCGCAGCACTCGCGAGATATTAAAAGAGGATATTTTGGATACTTTGGCTGTTTGAATAGCTAGGACCCGGGGCAGTTCCTTTTGGTGCGGAGGTCGAGGTCGAGGTTTGCGACTGTTTCCTTTCCTTTCCTTACTTTATTTTCTTTATTCGAGTTCTTGGGGTAGGACCAGGGGCCAAGCATTTTTAGTTTCGACTCATTTTGAATAGGGCCCGTTTTCCAGGTTAGGTGCGGATTGGGGGAGGGGGTAGTGCCCCTGAACCGGCTTTTCGTAGAAATTTTGATGCCGGACTTCTAGTTTGACTAATTTTGGATCTTGATGACTTTTGAGGTCGTTAACGACTATACCCTCGGTTTTCTTGACGAGCAGCACGAGCTGCGACTCCGGAAGGGTGTAGCTCGCAGCTACTTAACTAAGAAGGCACGGCAATAAGCCTTCTTTTCGAGCACGCGAACTCGTTGAGTTCACCCTCCTGATGAGACTCCGTTGGTGGGCGGATCGAAACTGGTTGAGGGACGCCACTGTGCTTGGCTATGGTGGTTATGTTTGACGAGTATTTTGCAGAAGTGCATTCTGAGTTTTTTGGAAATTGGTCGTTTTTGCAACTCTGTGCTTGTCATTCAGCTGCAGGGACTGTTTCGCCGTAGTCTGCCAACTCTCTGGCGCGTAGTAACCGGTAGTTGGATAGGCTAATCGGTGGCTGCGTCGACATGGTCATGATCAGTGTTCTCAGCGGCTACATTTGACGGATTCGTGTTAAGATAGTCTGGATGTTCGGCCCAACGGCGGTGGGCAGCTAGCTGGCCTGCAAGCGGCTATGCTTGCTATGCTAGCTTGGTGGGTATAGCTTTGCAGGTGGAATACGTTGATCTCGTACGTGTATGTTCAAAGTAGGAACGAACTTTATTGGAGGTTAGCTGTGCGTGGAGTTTTGTGGGGCGGTGAGCTTGGTTTATCTAAGCAGTTGCGCGGTGAGGTGGTGACTGCGCTCTGGCGGGATAGTTTACATTGTTTATGTGTGTTTATGTTTGTTTTCCCTCGGCGATGGGTAGGAAAGGTACCTCGGCCACAGTCCTTCGTCTGCTGGTAAGCGGCGTGGGCTTGATCTTGATAGGTTTGGGTCTCTTGGTGATCGGGGCGGCCTTTTGAGATAAGTATGCCGACTAGACGTAGACTCAGCCGGGAGTATATTCCTTTCGTTATCCGGGTGAGGCTAGTTCGGGCTTTGAACCGATTCGTGGAAGATACGATTAGACCTCTGTTTTATTTAACGGGTATGGTCAGGGATGAGCAGCTTAGAGATAGATTTTATGATTCACTACTTCGATTATTAGTGCGAATAGAAAGAGCGATCTTTAAGCTCAGAACTCGGAGACGATTACAGCTTATGCAGGTCGCGGATATTTGGAGGAACTAGCGCGTAAAAATAAGTTGTTATTGGTGCTCGTCCATTGCTTACACTTGGGTCTTCCGGTGGACCGGGTGTTTTACATCTTAAGCGGAGTACGGAAGCTTTCTTCGGGGTTTATCGCGCGGGAAGTTTACTCAGGGCTAAGCGAGATGTTTTTAACTAATGGTAATAATTTGGGGGCGTACGGTAACGGCAACGCCGGCTACAATGGGAACAACTATGGAGAAGGAAGGGGCGGGGCGCAGGCGAGTGGAGGAATGGTGGGCGGCGGAGATGGCTATGCAGCCGGCGGAAACGTTGGAAGAGGACCTGGTGATGGTGGGTGCTATAATTGCGGGAAGCCGGGACATTTTGCGCGAGATTGTTGGGCACGGCGCGGAAAACCTTACCAACACAGCCAAGGGGATCCGGAGTTGGAGGAGATCAAGGAGTTTCATCGACAAGCGAGGAAGGAGCGCATGGGGCAAGAGGAGATGAAGAGAATCGAGGAGGAGAAGAGAGTGAAAGCGGAGGAGGACAATCGTCGTAATCAGGATTTCGCACGGAAGATGGAGGAATTCAAGTTACAACTACGAGTCGACTTGAATGAAGAGTGGCGCAAGAAGAATTTGGAGGCGGAGAAAGCTACATCAGATTTTAAGAAGAAGACGGTGGCGCGGAGAATGAATCCAGGATCACGTGCGAAGAAGAGTAACGGGAAAGGGCGAAGGGTGAAGAGGAGACACTACATAATCACCAGTGAGGACTCGACTTCGGGCACATCATCGGGTACGGCAGATTCGAGTTCATCTTCGGGCGATTCGAACGATGAAGGGGCTCATGAGAGGACGTCCAAGGGAAAGGGTAAACGGAACAGTAAAGGGAAGTCGAAGCAGGGGAAGGGGAATACGAAGTCACCACCTATCAAGGGTACGCCGAGGAGATATGAAACGGGGGAATGGAAAGGGAAAGGAAGCGGCACGCGGTGCAACAGAGTTGACATTACAGAAAGATCCGAGGATGAAGAAGAACCGAAAACACCGTTGACGGGCGGGTATAAGGGATTGTCTGCGGGATGCTCACAGAAGGGTTTGATAGAGTACTGCATCTCCGCTCACAAAATCTACTCGGCAAAGAAGGCTCATGCACTTAGGAGGATCCGCGAACGAAGAGGTATGAAATATACCACGAAGCCGGAGGTGGTAGAACAGCTGGCGAGGCAACAAGTGGAGCTACCATATGAGGGTTTCGAGGAAGGGGTTGGCAAGGGGAAGGAGGCGATGATGGACAAGCAAGCTGCTACACCAAAGGCGGACGTCAACAAGGATAAGGCGGTGCATATTTCTCAGAAGAGAAGACCCAGGGTGATCCTCAAATCGGCAGCGGTGCAGCCGGATGAAGATTCGAGCTGACGGGGAGGAATGCCTTCGACATCTGTTTTGTGGGAATCCCTCAACACCTGGATGTCCCGCAGAGCGGAGCTTCGAAGGGATAGTATTACTGGTGAGGTAACCAGAAAGGTGGAAAGTGTGATTGCGACAACGACTTTGCTCTTGGCTGGTCGAGGCCAGATACCATGGCTACAAAAATACATCGATAGGGCGGGAGATCTATCCACTATGCTAGGATTGGATACACCAGGGGTGTACGCGATAGTGAGCCCCTGGGTGAAGAAGACTTACGTAGGGTGTACTGTTCGACCGATCATACAAAGGTGGAGGGAGCATTGTCGGAATGCATCCAACAATGCTTTGGGGTTGGCTCCACATTTGTACCGATGGCTGCGTGCATACGGTTTGGAGAGATATGTGATTATTCCTTTGAGGCACACAGGAAAGGAGGACGACTACGCTTTCGAGAGGTTTCTGATCTCAGACTTCTGCCCGAGTCTAAACACACGGGACTTGGGTTTGAAGAAGGAAGGAAGGAAGAAGATTAGGAGGGGGAGGCGAGAGAGGAAGGCGAGATCGCGCAGGACTAAAACTGAGGAAACGGTGATGTTCCATGAGGGAGATCGGGGTTTTACGTCACTAGTGGGTTGGTTAAGGGCTCATAGCGACGACCGAGTACAGAGAACCATCGTGGTAAGTAAGGGGACGAGATGGGTGGACGGATGGCGCAAGATTAAGCGACTATTTGGCGGCTTAGTGGTGAAGATGGGCGACAGCGTGTCGACTTTGAGGCAGGTTAAGACACAACTGCAGCAGGGGACCCAGGTCGAGTTTTTGCGAATAATCAAAGTAAAGACAACTACTGAAAAGAACAAGGCTTTCTTAGCAGGATTGCTTCGAAGGCCTAGGACCGCCTCGCAGCTATGCAATTTTGCGACGATCAGGCTGATAGGCCTGTACCGAGCGGCAGGACTTTTCACCGAGAAAAAGACAAAGCAACTTCTACGGCTTAAGATTGACAGAGCACTGCACAGGAAGACAGGCATAAGCATAAGAAGGCGGATCAATATCAAGGTACCTTATGCTTCTAACATAAAGAAGAGTGCCATCAGGAAGGTGGCGGAGGACGTGGTGGGCGAGAGGTTGTCGGAGACCGTGATAGCGGACTTTGTTAAGACCTGGATTCGGGTGGTTTGGACACGGAACAGTCAGTGGGTGAGCTCCTTTGGAATCAGAAGCGGTATGCAACTGTTGCGGAGGCGAGCTGCTGCTGCGATGACTTTTCACTTCCAAAGGTCGCGAGACATGTGCAGACGCGTTTCACAGAGCTGCCGGATGAGCTCGTACCTGGATTCGTGCGGAATGCTAAGAATATCACGAAGCCGGGACACGGAGTACGGAGCGAGGCAGTCTTGCAAGTGATCCTAGAGGCCACCAAGCATCTCAAGGGACAAGTAAGCCGACCGGAACTGCTACCGGGAACATTTCGTTGTGAAGAGCACAGGTCATTGGCTTGGACAGATGAGGCAGTAAGAGCTTGGGGGAAGAAGTTCGCCGGACTGGTACTGACCCAGATTGACAGGAACACCGGGGACACTGTGGTCTTCTGCCCGGTCCTGTACAGACATGGTTTCAGAAAATTGTTCACCTGGAATACGAACTACATCACTGTGGGGAGGGCGGAGGATGAGGCGGAACTGATGAAGAAGTATAGGGAAGATTTTCGTGAATACGAAATGGAGAGCATTGGGAAACGGAGGCCGGACGGCAGGCTAGGCACTGCCTACGTTATCCCCAAGCACAAGGATCTGGTGAGATGGAGACCCATCGCTCCAGCTCCATCCGATCCGGCGGCGCTGGCACAGTAAGGGGTGGCGAGAGCATTACATACGTTGCTCTGCAGGTTACCGGTACACAACTCGTTCTACCTGAACTCGATCTCGGAGCTGTCCGAGCGGTTAGGAGCGGCAACGGAGAGGCTGAAGGCTAGTGGCTGCACCAGGGTGGAAGGACGCTGCTACGACATTAAGGAGATGTTTTCCCGCATTCCCCATTCGGCGGTTGTCCACTCTGTGGAAAGCCTTCTCAGGGAATACATTGACAAAGGCTGGAGGTATGTGAAGGTATCATTTCGGGGTAAGGCGTGTGTGATCAGTGAGACTAAGAAAAAGCTGGATGGTTATGTCACAATCAGCCTTCCAGCACTGCTCGAAGCCGTACGTTACGATTTGCAGCATTCGTCTATCAATTGTGGCGGCAAATTGATGCAGCAGGTTTTTGGAATCCCAATGGGAAAGTCCACCAGTCCCATCCTGGCTTCTATCACGTGTGCCATGTCAGAGAGGAGGTTACTTAGTACGTTGGGCAACGACAGGAAGCTGGTCGGGGGTTGGAGGATCATGGATGACATTTCGGTCATTGTGGGTAGCTCGGACAAATCCCGTAGCTGCCCTGAGGATATTTTTAGAGCTTTTGAGGAGTGCTACGACTCCAACTTGGAGATTGTTCGTAAAGATGACTGCGGACTTACCTGGCCTTTCGTGGGAGGGTCTTTTTTCATCAGGAACAAGCCACTGCAGTTACATTTCATCCCAAATGGCAAGAACACAGACGCGCTGCGTGAGAAGGGGAAGCTGGTTTTCGAGACTATGCAGGATTACAGTTCGTGTTCGGACAAAGCAGTGAAGAAAGCAGTGTTGGCGGCAGCTATCAGAGGGTTGTGGGACCAAACCACGTGTAAGAAGCTGGTACTGGGCGCAATTGCCTTTGCTATATGTGAGGCAAACCTCCGGGGCTATGCCCCGGAGGTCTCTCTGGGTGCCCTGGCCAAGTTGGCCAAGGCTGCGCGCAACGAGTATTTGGACAAGATGCTGGCCATCTTCAGATGTGCCGCAGCACTCGCGAGATATTAAAAGAGGACAAGATGTGGCCAGCGCGGCTTCGTCCGCGTGTTTTAGTTGTACTGAATATTGCTGTCGGTTGCATTGACATTTGAAGACAGGACAATGAATAATTAATGGAGAAAGGCGAAGCAGGTAAGATATAAGCGGAAGGTTCCACAGCGTGGCATGAACATCATGGGTGACGAGAAGTGGTAGGTCCACATGGCAATGGATAGCACATTTCCGTGGCAATAAAGTCTAAGAATTACGCAGTAGGATTACCATATTCATCGAAGAATGGATTGAGTTCTTTCAGTGCGTTCATAGTGCATTCACATTAACGTATATATGAGAAATGGGAACGAGCAGAGGTGTCACATTTCGCGCATTCAAATTCACCAATGATAAGTAAATGAGTCAAGACAATCGGTGTCCACCGGCAAGTTGGAATAGGAAGCAGAGGGAAACAACTCGAGATAGGACGATGACAGAGGTGAAGGACATCCAAAAGGACAACTTCACATGCTCAGAATTGACATAAAATCGAAAATGAGCAGGTGTTCTGTCCACCCTGTCAAAGAGTGTGTGTCTGAACAACTCTGATCGTCTACCTCTGTGATGCACTGATGTCCCATTTATTCAACCCGTAGGTTGGATGTGCATGTTGCCTTGTGCATGGCTCTTTCGTACTATATAGGTAGCCGACTCTTAGAATTAGTACAGTTCACTATGCCGGAATCATTGCAGGTGTAGCGCAGATTGTAGGCGAACCCAACCAAATGCGGCCAAGCTTGGCATGCACCCAAACTCGAATGTGGGCAGTTGTACGCACAGAATGTATTCATAATATGATGGACATTGACGACAATGTCACGGAAATGCTTTGACAACTGAGGAACCATGCAGTTTCTCATGGAGTGCAATGTAGGACACTGCAGCGCTCTTGTAATCCTCAAAAGTCGTGACTTCGTCATGGCCTTGGCGATAGTAGTCGACGTAGAGCATGGCGTCGAGTGCGGTCCATTTGTTGCTGTTCTGATTCTTTGTAGCCAGCACCAATAACATTCTGCGGAGAAATCCCCTCCAATTGTGTCAGCCAGTTAGTGTCTGTGAAGAGCGGAAGAGGAGCTTCAGTTGCAGGAAGGGAAGAGGTGACGTGGGTATTGATGGGGGTAAGCAGAAAAGGTGGCGGAGTCGGTGGCAAGAAGAGACGGCGTCGGACGGGATGAGGAGCAAGTGGCAGAGATGAAACTGTTGCGAGGTCTTTGTTCATCGGTGTTGGTGATGCAGTGCTGTGGTCGTTGTTTGTGCCCTCAGGTGCAGCCTTCTTGGCTTCCAATTGTTCTGTCCGCCATCGCACATATTCTGAAGAAACCCAATGTTTCTGCGGAGTGTATGTGGCAAGCGGACATGACCTTCTGCATGCCCTGGGGTACGGGTTATCAACCCTGCGTTCTTTAGGAAGTTGATCAGCCAGGAATTCAAGTCTGGCGTACTTGTAAATTTGAAATGGAACGAAATCATCGAGCAAGGCGTTCTTATACTTACAGCAGACACTGATGAGAACGTGCAACGGTGAGGTGTTGTACTTCGATTCGAGGATCCTCCCGATGAGGAGCTCGACATCATCAAGATTGCCATTATCGGCAATCTCTTTGCCTGGGCACTCAAGAAATGAACGTTCGATGGTTCCCCTGGCAAGAAGGAAGTCTCGCTAAATGTGTTCTGTCGGCTCGACTCCCTGATCAAAGAAACGACGGAAGAGGAGGTTATTGAGCATACGTGGTCTACCTACATAGTCAAGAATAGCTGACCAGCGGTTAAACTTGTTACTGAGTTGATGATCAAACTCGACAGTACGAGCTTTGTCCAGCCAGATAGGTGTTCCACACCAATTCAACCGATGATACACCAAGGTGACACCGGCGCGGTATCCATTTTTGACTGAGGCAACTACCTTCTGGCCCCCGATGCCCAAATGATATCCTTCCCAACGCCCCCGATGCCCAAATGATCTCCTTCCCAACGCGTCGGTCATGGTCATGCTACTCGTGGGATTGTCTCACACAACAGTGCCCTGGCCCCCGATGNGCCCCCGATGCCCAAATGATCTCCTTCCCAACGCGTCGGTCATGGTCATGCTACTCGTGGGATTGTCTCACACAACAGTGCCCTGGCCCCCGATGCCCAAATGATCTCCTTCTGGCCCCCGATGCCCAAATGATCTCCTTCCCAACGCGTCGGTCATGGTCATGCTACTCGTGGGATTGTCTCA